AACTGATACTGTAGACATTTCGACGTATTTTGCAATATCTTTAATTTTCATCTGTTCTCTTTCAGGCATTGATAACATTTTTGCAACTATATCTATTTTTTCTTTATTCCAATATTTGTGTATTCTTTTTGGTCTTTGAATTCTCGACGAAGACTGGGAGTTTTCATTTAAATTGGAAAAATTAATATTACTATTGGATAATAAAGATTCTATAAAACCCATTTTTTTATTATTTAAGAAAAATTTAAAAAATTAATAAATATTTTTTGGTTCGGGTCCGCTCTATATACTCTTAAAAATATCAAAAAGGCAAATAAGCTAAAATGGACCCTATAAGTTTGAAACGAGAGATTTAAAAAAATATTAAAAATTTAACTTTTACAGATTAGATAGTTTTTCCTATTTAAGTATTTAATATTAAATTAATATCATTATAAATTTTAGTAAATACATCAAATATTTAATATAATTATATAATTAATATTAAAATCATTGAATATAAATTTTAATAAATATATAATTGTAATATTTAACATAATATATTATTAATATATATTTATAGTATCTAAATTAATTTGATATAAAGAAAAATATATAAATTGTATTAATATAAATTTTAATAAGTATATAATTGTAATATTTAACATAATATATTATTAATATAATATTTAAAGTAATATAAAGAAAAATATATAAATTGTATTAATATAAATTTTAGTAATATATAATTATAATTATGATTTAATTATAATATAGTAATTAATATTATTAACATAATTAATATATAATTTAGTATAATTTATATTATTATATTTATAATATTATTTAATATTTTATATATTTATAATATTATTTACCTATTTAATATAATTTATTTATAATTTAGTATAATTTATATTATTATATTTATAATATTATTTAATATTTTATATATTTATAATATTATTTACCTATTTAATATAATTTATTTATAATTCAATATTATATATAATACAATATGGTTAATATTACTAGGAACTCCATTAATAAAATTTTTATCGTAGAGACTTATACTTATTATTCCTATAAATATCAGATTTACTCATATTTTAATTTTTTTAAGATTTCTATTGATTAATGGGAATATGTTAATCTCTTTTCCTACTAGGAACTCCATTAATAAGTATCATAGGGATTTATACTTGTTATTCCTATAAATATGAGATTTACTCATATATGTTAATCTCTTTTCCTGCTAGGAACTCCATTAATAAAATTTTTATCATAGGGATTTATACTTATTATTCCTATAAATATCAGATTTACTCATATTTTAATTTTTTAATGGGAATATGTTAATCTCTTTTCCTACTAGGAACTCCATTAATAAAATTTTTATCATAGGGATTTATGCTTGTTATTCCTATAAATATGAGATTTATTTTGTTAGAGGTTTCTAGTCACTTATCTTACTAGGAAATCTATTTATCATACGTGTTTATTCATATAAATATCTGATTACTTAGATATTACTTAAAAATATTGTTAAAAGGCTCGATTTGAGTCGAGTTTTTAAAAACGGCTAACTCGAATTTTCGCTAGCAAAATATTGAATAATCCTCGAGATTTAGCTAATAGATGCCAAACCTTTATGTAACCTCTGAGCAAGGTCTGCTAGCTTGCCTAATATTTTTTCGGATAAAATATTGAGTTAGCCGTTTTTAAAAATCGGCTTAAATCGAGCCGTTTAACAAAATTACTTATAAATAATATGTAAGAATAATGAAATATAAGCCTAACAATTTTATTATTACTTTTGCAATTATATCAATAGTATTATAAATATTTATTGTGATTGATAAATATAAAATAATGATTGCAATTGTATAATAATGCTATATAAAATAATGATTGCAATTTATATATCAATACTATATAAATTTATATTTATTGAGACTATATATTGATGAAGGTATATAAAATAAAGATTGCAATTTGCATATCAATTATAAAATTATATTTATTAAGACTGTATATTGATGGTGGTGTATAAAAATTTGTATATATTGCAATTGAATATTAATTGTATATAAAATGATGATTAAAATTTGTATATCAATAGGTGGTATATAAAATAATGATTGCAATTTGTATTTCAATAGTAATATATAAAATTATGGTAATTACTTTTTGCATATCAATATCATATAAAATGGTGTAAATTTGAAAAAGCATTAAAAAATGAAAATTTTGACAGCATGATCACAATATTGATAGAGTGATGTGAATTTTTAGGTAAAAACCTAATAATTAATAAATATCTATGTATGCATATAATAGTTTTCTCTATTTTGAGAATATAAATAATTATTAGAAAATAGTAGATTTTTATTAAATTTAGATTTTATAAATTTATATTAGGCATTTTGCTTTAAAAAAATTAATTGATTTATTAAATAATCTTCAATGGCTATAAAAGATAATTTCCAGATAAAACTAGTAGCATATTTTAATTTATCTTGATTGGTTGGAGTTCCTGAATGGATTATAAATGATGCTAAGATTAAAATTTCCAGGTTAACAAGATAGCATATTTTAAATTTTCTTTGGTTGGTTGGAGTTCCTGAATGGATTATATCAAGTGATGCTAAGATTAAAATTTCCAGGTAAAGATAGCATATTTTAAATTACTTTGGTTGGTTGGAGTTCCTGAATGGATTATATCAAGTGATGCTAAGATTAAAATTTCCAGGTTAACAAGATAGCATATTTTAAATTTACCTTGATTAGTTGGAGTTCCTGAATGGATTATATCAAGTGATGCTAAGATTTTCCAGGTTAACAAGATAGCATATTTTAAATTTACTTTGGTTGGTTGGAGTTCCTGAATGGATTATATCAAGTGATGCTAAGATTAAAATTTCCAGGTTAACATGATAACATATTTTAAATATACCTTGATTAGTTGGAGTTCCTGAATGGATTATATCAATTGATGCTAAGAAGAAAATTTTCAGGTTAACAAGATAGCATATTAGTAATATATTCTAAGAAGAAAATTTCCAGGTTAACAAGATAGCATAATAGTAATATATTCTATAATTTACCTGGGTTGGTTATGGTCTTAAATGATGCTGGAGAAAATATTTTAGATAAACTTTCTAAGCAGGCAAGAGCTATAATATGATTATTTTATATAAGATTAACAAAAAATATACCAGTGCATTGTTTGGATATATGAAAGATATTGTTTTTAAATATCCCTTTACCCACACATGATGGCCTGGTGCATTTGTAATACATAGTAATATTATAACTATCATATTTTCTAAAATGTGAATGAATCATATAACACATTTTTTTATTTTTAATTAAATTTCCAACACATTTCTTTTCAACGATTAATCTTGTTTTAATTACTTGTCCATATTTAATTTCAATATGTATTAAATTAAAATAAAACTTTATTATATTTACACCTTTTTATTGTTGATTTTTAACACTCATTTCACTGTATTATTTATTCCGTTGGTTATTATTAATAAACATTTAATGATTACATTGTATAAATTGATTTTGCTATTTTTATACGCCTAAAGTAGAACAGTATATTAATCTAGATTGTTTTTCAAACATATATAATGGAAAAACGACTATAAAAAGAAAAATATTGTTAAATTTCTTATTTTATATTGAAACATTAATAAAAATCTTATTATATACTTAAAACTCTTAAAATTAATGATGTTTGAGTAAAATATCATCGCTTTCTGCTCGAGCATTTATCATTCTTACAAAATTTATCGCGGCATATTTTAATTTGATATTTGTTATTTAAAAAAAATGAATAATATTTTAGTTATAAAAATAGCTAATTGAAAAATAATCTTCATTGTTTATTATACATTCTTACCCAACCCTTATCGAAATGCTAGTTTTAAAAATTTACATTCTTTCCTCGATGTTAGGACATTTCTATTTTTCGTATTTTTTCTGTTGTTTTTATATATTTTTTTTCTCATGATTTTGCTGAAAAAAATATTTTTTAGTTTTGTTTTTTCGTATAATTATTACTTTGCTTATAATTTTTTAATTAATGACTAGCTTATTTATTTAAATTACAAAGCTTATATTGTAAGTTTAATTGTTTATAATCATTAATGATGCTTATTTATATGTAAATGTATAGACATAAAAAAAATACTAGCTTAATTTTTTACTTTATTGATATTTGCAATGTCTATATTATAATTTGGGTTTAATTTATTTTTGTATAGATTTTGTAAAATATATGTTTGTTTGTTTTGAGAATCTATATATCGTCAATAAAATTTTTGATCCCTTTGTCAATTTTCTTCTAAAGGTATTAGAACTAAATGTTTCATATAGTTTACACAAATGACGGGGAATCATAAATGATGATGAATTACAAAGAGTTATGATCAATAGTGATGATAGTGTTGTTAAACGGCTTGTTTTGAGCCGATTTTTAAAAATGGCTAACTAAGTTTTTTATCCAGAAAAATATTATGCAAACCTGAAAATTTTGCTCATAGAAGGAGCAAAGGTCTAGACATATAGTATCGAAATTTCGAGACTTAGTCAATATTTTTTTGGCGAAAATATTGAGTTAGCCGTTTTTAAAAATCGGCTCAAAACGAGCCGTTTAACAACATTAGTGATGAATGACAAATGATCAATGATGGCGAATCTGAGTTCAAAAATAAAAATTATTATATTAAAAAAAAATATATTATATATTCCATTTTAATTTTGAAATTGTACTATATTATTTAACTCTGATTCCGCATCAATTATTATTCACAACTATTAGTGATGTCCTGTCATTTGTATAAATTAAAAATCTTAAAAAAAGGTTTATAAACTACTATTGTTTTATAATAAAAACCAAAAATTAGGCTTAACTTCTACACTCGTTTTATTAATTTTTTGTTTGCTTTTATGATAGAACAGGAGTAACATCCTTTTCACACAAGTATTTTTAAGTTATATATTTCTAGGTCTCATTGCAGAATTCCATATCACCACCTTCCCAAACATTTTTGCGATCGGCTTTAAGCCGAATAACCAAAGATCACACAATAAAAGCGCGGGCTTTTGATTATGCGTATGCAGAATTTGCGGCGCACCGTAACGCACTTTCAAAAGAGCGCACTGCCCTGACTTGCCTTCTGGATGTGGCAGAGGCTTTCAAAAGACAGGCATGCCGCCTAGACCGAAATTTGGAAGCCTTCTATAATGGTACCAGTAAGAAGACGGAGTTTAACGAGAGGGATAAGGAGATGTAAGTTTAGAAACGATATACTTTTATAGGCAAAACAATCGGTATATTTATTTTAAATTCTGTACTATAGTGTTTTATAATTATGTAATTTAACTTCTAATATTATGCAATTATATTGACCTCCATAATATAATATCAAATATCTTCAAAATATATAAGATATTATAATATAACATAATCTTCTTTCCCACCAAGTTAAGATCGTCTATCAATCTTTTTATTTACCAAGTTCAAGTTCATCTATTCTTGTTCTAAAAGCTTGTAATTTTGGTGCTTGATTTTATATATTTGTACCATTTATTAATATTTTTACTTTTCTTAAAATTGGATCTTTCGCGGTTTCATCTCTAAGTTCTTTTCTTGATAGAGTTAATGTGTCATAAGTAAGATTTCTTATATATTTCACTGTTTTAGTTATTTTATCATCATTTTTCTCTATTGGGTTTCGCGATAAAGCATCTGCAAATATTATTAGGGGCATTCTATTATATCATAATCATATGCAAATAATTTATAAGCCCAACGTAATAATCTTTGGGTTGTTAATGAGCTTAAATCTCTATTACCATATATCTTTATTAAAGATTTGTCAACCGTTCGTATTTTAAAATTTTCGTCCATACAAATAGTTATAATTTTTCTACGCCGTTTATTTTTGCTTTGGCTTCTTTGTCGATTGTTGAATAATTCTTTTCAGCATCTTGTAAAGTTCTCGAGGTGTAAGCTATTGGGAATTCGTTACCATTATTATATTTTTGCATGAGTACAGCTCCAAATCCTTGGTGTTTCTATTATTAACTCAAGGTCCGGTTTATAAAACTGTTTAGTATTTTGTTCTGTTACTATTATCAAACACCGTAGCGAATTATATATATAATTTGCCAATATTACGTTACCATTACCATTATTATTATATTTATTGTTGATAATATTGATTTTTACATTTGTTGGTAACGATAAATCAAATTCTATAGTCCATGGAAATTTAAATAGTGCTGCAACATCTTTTACATAAGCTTCGCCCATAATTCTTATTGTATTGTTTCCATATGTAGGTGGAGCTCTAGCCATTCTAAGTTTTGGCCTCCCAATTTTATTCCATATTGTTGCATTAATAATAGTTACTGCTGAACCTGTATCATATTCCATTTTAATTTCGTGGTTATTTATTAATACCGAAATTGTTGGGTGCTGTCCATATTTGTAGACTTTTCTTATTGAGAAATCTAAATCGTCGTCGTTATTATTGTAATTTGTACCTTCTTCTAGTTTTACAACACATGGCAAAGTGGTTTGATTACTGCACGTTTTTCCTTATGGTTGACAATTTCTAATAGCATGAAAACGATTACAAAAATAGCACGAGTTTCTTGTATTATTATTGTGTGGTAGTTATTATAACCTTGTATTGGTTCTCTTTTTAAGTATGTTTTATTATCATTTTGATAGTGCCGATTATCATTATCATGTCGATTATCATTAACATTATACTGTCGATTATTATCATTTTGATTTAATCGTTTATTATTATCATTATATTTGGTCATGTCTTTGTTTTATAAACCATTTTAGTTGTACGTTCCATCGTTAAAGCCATTTCAATAACTCTGTTTAAGCTTAACGGTTGGTTTTCGTCCCTAGTATCTGGGTATCTTAAATGTTGTTCTTTATCTAGTTGTGACATCTTTAGTCCAGCGATTAATTTATCGCGAATTCTTAGTTCTACATTATCTTCAAATTCGCATCTTCGGGCTAGCTCCTTTATAGTTTTTAAATGACTCAAAACGGATTCTGTAGGCCCGCGACTTAATCTAATGATATCACTTCTAGATGCCAGAACAGTTCTTTCATCTTTATAATGTTGTTTTGCAATTTTGAATATATCTGCCCATATTACATCATCAATTTTTCTTGGGAAGAGTAATTTTTTTTATATCAGTTATAATATTTATTCCTCCATAAGCTATAAATAATTTTTTCAAAGTGGCGTCGAGGAATATTTTTAACGTTCAGTATGTATTTTATGTAGTCAAAATAATCGTCAATAGAACACTCATCTTTTTTAAATTATTATTATTATTATTTTATCCATAATTTCTAAACAGATCTATTTTTTTTTATAAACAAAAAAATTATAATTCTATATAATATTTAATTTGACCGAAGACCGCATTTTTTATTTCGTCATCATATTAGTCAAAACAATCGTTATATTTATTTTAAATTCTGTTCTATATATAGTGTTTTATAATTATGCAAATTAACTTCTAATATTATGGAATTATATTGACCTCCATAATATAAAATTAAATGTAGGAAAGTTATAATGATATAATATTCAAATAACTTAACTTTAAAATATATAAGATATTAAAATATAACATATACTATTCGAATATTTACGAGATAAGTTTTATGGGAGGGGCATAGAATTAGTCTTTTCCCGAAACATAACAAAAATCCTACGGTCTCTGGAAAACAATCTTTTAGTGGTCCTCTGACTCTGGAAAATGTATTGGGTCCTCCACTTGCCAATTTAAGCTTCTGGTCATTTCTTTTATGAGGTTTATACTTGAGTGAAGTTTTTGTTTAAAGTTTAATTTCGTTTCTTTTTCCCTTTTAGATAAGTAAAAAGCTATTTTTATGATATAAACAATTCTCGAATGTTATTAAAATGATTTATCATTTTTTGCTTAGAATAAGACAAAACAAACAATTCCTATCCCATAAGCTTGAATCAATATTGGAATCTAAGCATAAGCTCGAAGCTCAAATTATTGGAGTAATGACTAGATGCAATGATTTGGAAAAAGAGTTTAACGGCATAAAACCAGAAATTTTAGATTTACACAAGAGAAGAGAAATTTTGCACGGGTTATAAATAGTTTAATATTTGAAAGGTATCTTGAGAAATCTAAATTTTATTTGTTACATTGAGAAAGAGATGTATCATTTTGAGTATTATTTTACAGGCTCTTTCATTTAAACATAACATTTTATTTGGATTAATAATATATATATCTATAAAAATACATTATCTTTCTTATGTTTAAAAGTTTAAAAATTAAAACAAAAAACTGGGTAAATTTATAGCGTATTTTTTTAGTAATCCAATATTTTAATTTAAATTAATTCAGCATATTTTAAGGTGTTTATATTTTATTGTATTTGGCGGAGGGGGGGTCTTATATAACCTTTTTTAAATTATAACGAGAGAGGGTATAAACTAAAATGTACCGAATCCTCAAAAGGCGTAATGTAATTCTTGTTCAAGAATAGGTTAAAACAAAATTGACATGTTTGATTGCTCAAATATTTTTATTGAAATAATTATTTTACTATAACATTTTTTAATGAAAATCTTAAATATATTAGAGTCTAATTTCATTTTAGTTCTCGAGTACTAATAATAAAATAAAATATTTCTTTTTTAAATATTGTAATTAAGGTATTTATTAAATCGGGGCTTCAACCAAGCTACCATAGAAAAGTGGATAGCCGAAGATGAAGATGATAGTACTTTACTCAATAACCTGAATATTTCGAATAACGACACTTTTGGTACTCCAAATTCCAAAAATCATGACACCTCAATCTTAAATAATCCTAACAATATCACTCTAAAAATTGACGATGACATTAAAATGGCATCTGAAAAGTTGTCTAAGATTATTGTGCGTTTAAAACCAGATGTAAAAATGACTCCTATAGAAACATTTTACGAAATCCAAGATCCCATTGACCCTTGTGATATTAAATTTAATGGTAATGAACAAAGTAAAGAATCCGCTAATCAATTTTCTCGAAAACATTTTGATACACATCTAAATAATGGGAACAATAATAATTTCAAAATCAAAACCAGCATTGATAATTATAATCAGAGCATCGATGAAATAAGTGATGACGATTTTATGAAGTGTAAAAATAAAGTTGTGACAACCAATTTCAATAAAAAGAATATTCAAAATATCGTAAATGATCAAAATAACACTAACTTAATAAAAGACTGGGATCCGATGGAAGAAAGACTTTGGTTTGTTGGCAGTTGTGATAGAGTTACAGCTGAACACCTGTTAAAGGATAAACCACCTGGAACTTTCTTGGTGCGCACATCTAGCAAAGCTTTTCACGCTTTATCTATAAGGTTGCTTTGCTAATAATTGTTTTAAAACATTTTATTCTTATTGGGTCAGGAAATTAGAGTTTATTTTCTAATTACAAAATATTTTAAAATGTAGTATTTATTTTAAGAAAGAATGGGATGACCTGACGGTTTGTTTTTTTAGGAATTTTTTTACTATTTTCTTCTGCATCAATTTATTTAATATACAATTTGGCTCTAGGAGTGCTTTTCGGTAAACTGGACAGAGTTGTTAAAATAGAGAGCTATCTTTTTTAGTTGCGATATCTAATAGCGTGCTCCTTTTTTGGCGCTACTTAGCTACTTTTTAATGTAACTATAAACATGAAATGTAAATATAATATCATAATTAATTATAATTTTTATAATTTATTATTTAATTTTAAATTTTTTTTATATAATAAATATTTATTGATATTAAAAACTTTTTTATAAAAATTAAAACATGAACATTTATATATTGAATTAAAAATATATATTAAAAAAACAAATAAAGATATATTAAAAATTAAATATATATAAAAAAAATATATATAATCTATAAAAAACATAAAAAAGAACCAAGAAAAAAAATATATGAAAAAAGGGTACATATCACCCTAGAGAAGAGTGAATGCTTGAAATATTGGACCGGCAGATTTCAAGGGAAATCTGTGAAATCTGCTGACGAAGGTAAAATCCTTCATTGAGGTCCCCTGAGATCTGTCTCATTTTTTCCCTATGATTTTAATGAAATTGATGGCCTCACTTTCAAACATGGCGGGGGACCAAGTCCAGGGAATGAGGGTTATACCATCGGGGCGTTTTCGTTTGAGAGACCCACTGGTTCGAGGGTGGATGGAATATTAACTTTTTTAAGGGCAGCTAGGAGAATGTTGTTGATAGATTATAGATGAGGTTGTCGTTCACGAGAGAACTTGCTGTGCAAGAGATGGTAAACTTTTGATTTAATGGGATGGCCACAATCGATGCAAATGGAGGGAACTACAGCCAAGGAGGAGGTCTATGGATATACGTAACTGTTCGCCAGTCACGAGGAGGCCAAGATTAGAACTGGAGATGGCTTCGAACCATTCATAGCCTGAGTTTGCTTATAATACTATGTTATTGGCAGGGATTTGAACCGAACCCAGAGAAGAAAGCCCGGGTTTTTGAAAAAAAATCTGAACCCAAACCGAATTTGAACTCTGTTTATAAAATTTTCAAAACCTCGAACCGAACTCAGGAATTTCCAGGGTTCAACCGGGTTTAGTGTATTGCTTAAAATCATATAAAGATATTTGTTTTGTATATTGTAAATACAAATATTAATAATTTAATTGAGATTTTATAATATTTTCAAATTTCCAATAAAGTGAAGTGTTAATATATTTTAAACAGCTAATTCATTTACGCCAATTTTAATTTTTTTTTAGTTTATTCTCAAGTTTCTTATTGGAATGTTAATAAATTAACAATTAAATTCATTTATGCCATTTATTTTTAATTTTTTACTTTTTCTCAAAGATAAAGTGAACATGTCAAAGTTAAAATTACTATATTAGATATTGTTAATTTAAAAAAATCTAACTTAAAAATCGTTAAACCAAGATATAAGACAGTTTTTGTAAACTTTTGTATTTTTAACTATATTTTGTCTATAAATAAAATAAAAAATCAATTTTTTATAGCATCAATTCAAAAATTCTTAAACCCGAGCTGAACCCGAAACCTAACCCGGGTTCAAAAATATTTCCCTGAACCGAACCCACCTATTTTTTTAAACTTTAAACCAACCCGAACCGAACCCGGGCTAAAATTTTGACGGGTTCGCATCCCTGGTTATTGGGATTGTCCTCAAAGGGCTTGTTCGAAATTAGGTATTCAACGGAACGGGCGATCAGAGGAGGAGCATTCCATTCTTTTTGAATGCTGGAGGCAGGACGGCAGGGGGTGGATGAGCAATTGCTGTCCCAAAAGTGAGGGTCTGGGAAAGGTCAGGATCTAAAGGAGTGGATCCATTATTGATAATAGATTGAGTAGCCAGGCGAGATGAGATAAAGGCTGATAGGGAAAGTTGTATCGAGTATTGAATATCAATACCACCAGACTTGCTGGAAAGGGTTGCCTGAAGCCAAAACGAATTGGAAAATTTTAAGTTTAATATATTTTTAAGGACGCCCTTGATTTGGGTTTCATGGGAAACTAGCAAATCGCTGCATTTAAAGATTGGTTAGGATCTCAGGGCATAAAGGATTTTGGTATATTAAAATAGTTTTTGATTAAATATAAGGATTGATGGGCGTGAAGGTATTAATATATTTAATTTAGATAAATTGTTAGGGGATGTTTAAAAAGTTTCGTTGGCCTTTTTACCCCCTATCGGTGATCCAAGATGTGTCATCTCGTGGTATGTGGTGTCTAAAGGAATGGATGTAGGATTTAGGAATTAAATTTCACATTTGGGGAGATTGAGTGATGGTCCTGTAACATATGAGAGATTCGCAATGATGGGAGGAATGGACAAGATTGAGGAGAGGTTCTCCGAGACAATGTCATCATCGAGGTACCAGGAATTTAAGGTAAGGATAGATTAGATTGAATTTCCTGGATTATTTTATGGATCCCAATGCAAAAAAGGGCAGGGCATAATAGGTCTTCCTGTTTAATTACCTCTTCAGATTTGATTATGTTATTATTGTATTTTAGAAAAGTAGAACTTGAATAACTGTGGAGAATGTATGAAGTATTCAGGATATTTGTTGCAAAACAAAGGAACGAAAACGAAGTGTTGACGTTTATTGTATTAAAGGCATTATTGAAATCGAGTTTTAAGACAGTCGTCAGGAATACTGTTTGCGATAGTCATACGGTCAAGATGAGCACAAATTTCAGTGCCTCCGGAACACCAAACCCTAATTGGAGTTGCCATGAATGAGGAAAGAGATTCCTTGATCCGTGAAGCAATGATCTTATAGACGGCTCTTCGTAAGAATAGGCGAATACCTCCATCCATTTTTTTTGAGAGCTATTAGACGGGCGTCAAAGAGGATAGGATGGGTGATGGAAAGGACCCATTGAGAATTATATTTAATAGTAAAGAGCTTTACATGAAACGTTATTTTCAAAATGTCTTGTATGAAGATAGCACGAATTCCATCAAGGCCTCCAGAAGAGTCTTTTTTAAAAGATCTTAAGGCTTTAATTGTCTCTTCAATGTTAATTTCGGGACATGTATGATTGTTTTGGTTTGAATAGACAAATTCTGAGTCACATCTAGGGTGTTTTTGAAACAAAGCTTCTAGGGTGGACTCGTTGTTGGGAGATAAGGGGTCTTCAGAAGTCATGGAACGAAGGGCTGAGTTTATGTTAAAGCTATTTATTTTATTTGAAACTATTTTGGCCTTACGGGCAATAGGGAGTGGATTTGATTTGTAAGTGTGGGGTATAGAGGTTGGTATTATATCTGGATTGCAGAGGGATATTGAAGTTTAGTATATTTGGATAAGATATTTTTATTTTCGGGAGTTTTAAGAGTGAAATTAGGAAGCTTAATAAATTTTTCCAATTTGAAAGGTTTCCAGTAGGGGTGTACCGTACCGATACCACTTTTTGGAGGCCAATCCGATATTCCAGTATTAAATGGATATTGACCGATTACCGATCCGATATCATATCTAATTTTGTATTCTATAAAGATACCATTGGTTTTAATTTTTAATATACTTTTTATTAGTATAACATCTATATTTTAACTATACCATAACATATATCATTTAAATATATTATAATGATCAGTTATAGTTTATATTCAATTCAATTGCAATTCTTATTTTTATTGATAAATCACTAATATATTTACATAATTAGAAATAAACAAATATATTATGAAATTTGAAATTAATATTTAAAATTAATATATCGAAATTTATTTTTTTAGAAATACCAAAATTTCCAATTTATCAAAGATCAGTCTGCGGTAATGGGGAGTGTCAATATCACTAGCATCACTAAAAACAGATTTTGAAGAGATTATTGCACACTTTTTTAAACAGAATGCGTAAAAAAATAACAATATGGCAGAATATTTATTAACTAATTATTACTATTAAAAAAAATAAATATAGAAATGGATTTCGATTTTATTTATAAAAATAAATGGTTTTTTTAGATATAACTTTTTTAAAAAATTTTATAATATTTTTTTTTTGTTAAAAGTGTCATTTTTTATCGGATCGGAAAATTTTATAATATTTACCGATAACCGATATTTTAAAATGTGTGAATATCGGCCCGATGTCCCTTATAAAATATCGGCCTAGTTTTCGTCTACAGTTAAATGGATTAATTTGTTGAAGGAATCCGTGAAAGAATTACTTGCACCCCGAGGTATACGGGATTTGGTGGGATAGTTGGGTAGTGATAAAAATTTATTGGCCCATGATTGTAGGTTAGGTGTTTGTTGACTTGGAGGTGAGTCAGTAGCAAAAGTTGAGGAGGGAGGGCTTACTAAATTTTATAAACTGAATGAAGGAGGATCTGTAGGTGTTATACTTGGTACCCCTGAACCTCAGTATTGTGGGAAAATTTTTTGAATTATAAACCTAAATCATCTGGTGTAAATTATTTAAAATATCATCGCAAATGGATATCCAAATCGATGTAAGTGAGTCAGACAATTATAATATTAGTGAAATGAAAGGTACTCTGTAAGAAAATGTTCTTGATAAAAATAATACACATTTTTCATTTTCAAAATTTGACAAATATTTTCAAATTAATGTAAAAACAAAAGGTGGCTACAAATTTATTTGTTTAAAATGTAAAAAAAATAAATCTAGTAGCTATAACTTCAAAAAACACCTATAGGTAATTGTCATTTTTAATTCTAATAGTATTTATTTTATAAGAATGTTCATACAAACAGTTTTAAAGAGATAGAAAAACAATAATTTTAGTATAGGGGAGTCTACATCCAAAAAGACCAATTCATTTCAAGCTAAATTTATAATATTGCTCATGCCAATATTTCTCAGAAACTGTTTGATAAAGTTATTGTCGATTTCATAATTGATATAGTTCAACCAATGTTATTGGTCGATAATCCATCATTTACTATAATAATTAAAACTCTATTCCCTGGTACAACAATATGTCGCCAGAATCTAATGATTGAGATATTAGAAGATGCCCTAGTTTGAACCATAAAAACGACTTACACTGATAATTTTTTTTGATATAAAGGATACTAATTTAATAGAAAATCCCTAGACGCGTTTTTTAAATCTAAAAATAATCAAATGAGTATTTTTTATAATTTTTCTTATATTTAAAATATGTAATAAAATTAAATACTGCCTTGCCCTCAAGTGCTAGTGTTTGGAAATTATTTAGTAAGGCGAAACTTAGGTCTTCTGATCGTCGCTTTAGACTTGGGGGTGATATAGAAATGATTTTATTATTAAAATACAATAAAATTAATAAAAAATGAATAGTACCATAAATAGTTATTTTTATTACATAAATTATACTTTTTACATAAATTTTTTTATAATAGATTTTTATGTATTATATACTATGCAATTACATTATAAGCAAAAAATGAAATAAATATATTTCTAAATTTTTTTTATAAAAAGTGGCCTAAGCTACTTTTAATAAATAGTAGCTAATGACACGCTACTTTTTTTTTGATGGTTAGAGATAGTGGTAGCGTGCTACTTTTAAAAGTAGGGTTTAACAACTCTGTTTGTGGGGTTAATTTTTGTTAAAATGAGTTCCTTTATGCCTTTTTGTTAGATTCAATTTGCACATATCCCATTCTTTGTGCAAACTAGCTTAATATATATTTAACTTATATAAAAGTGCCAGTTTTACTTTATTTAGACTTGTATTTTATTTCTACACTTATTCTAATCCGAACTCTTTTATGTTAGTTCCTTTATATATAAACACTAGAATAATTAAATTTATTTTTTATACTTAAATAAAAAATTCATCTAGAATACCTAACAACAGAGTCAGACATTGTCTTATAATCTACAACTCAGACATTTTGTGTTATGGCTTTGCAGAACCTCGCATTATATTTCCTAATCTGGCAAAATTAGTGGCATTTTATCGTACCCATTCACTCGAAGAGCATAACCCAGAACTAAAAACAACTTTACTATATCCAGTATTTTATTCAGATAAATAATGAATCATTTCAGCATTATGTTAAATAGTGTAGATAATACTTGTATATAAATGTCAGTGTAAAATATTTTAGAAATTTGCTCAAAAAGTTTATTCATTTAAATATTTTATATTTTTAATATTACAAATATAGTAGAAGATGAAAGATAATAAAATACTTTTTTATTATATGTTTTATTGTTAAATATAATTCGATTAATTATTCATTAAATTTAAATATTAAATATTATTTACATTACATTTAAATTATGATAATAGGTTGGATTAAAATTTTAAAAATTGCATATATCATTTTCAATAAACTTATTAATAAATCATTACTTTCTGGCGAATTTTCAGAATCCATGGCTTTATTTGCCTCTTGGTATTTACTTTATCTATTGGAACTGTCTTGAGCCTCGCTTAATTTAGAAAATATAATAGATTTATGGATAGAAATTTTGATCGAATTTTATTTTTAACATTAACCTCCACAGAGTACCTTTTAAGTTTTAATCTCTACCGGTCCTCAAAAAATGTTGTCACTTCCCTTCAGGGGTTCGAAACGAACCGCAAAACCGGAATGAACTGTTATGATTTTCTGAACCTTAACCGAACCGTTATGAAGAAAATATTAAAAGAGCGAACCGAACCGTTATAAATATTTTGAACCGGTTCAAAACGGTTTTAAAAATAATTAATTTTAAATTATTAACCTAAATTTAAAATTTTAATTTTCCTTGGGCATTTTTTAAATTGGTGATTTCTTTTCAAATTAAATATTTCTATATTATCAACATTATATATCAAATTAAATATTTTTATATTATCAACATTATATATCAAATAATACCAGGTTTGTTGTTTTTTCTTTAAATACTTAATTTATAAGAGATTAGACAATTTATCTGTTAATTAGATAAGATATCTTAAAATCAGACATAATTATTCTTGGCTAAATTAACAAATTTATATATAAGATATTAATAAGCTTTTAGAATAATACCTGCTAATAATTAGGAAAAAATTATATAAATCTATTATTAATAAATAACATCTAATAGAAATCAAGTACCTTTTACATTCATTTTTATATTTTATGGTTTATTTTTTATCTCATTATAAAAACTTGGATCATAGAATTTAAATGACAATAAATAAAATAGTCAGCAATACTTTAATGATATAATAATTTTTTATTTATAATAATTGTTTTTTTAAATTCAGAATTCTAATATTATAAATTATTTATTATTATATGTTAGTTAGCATTTACCATTATCTTATATGCGAAATAAAAAAATATGATTAAAGAATGGTATTTGTAATGAATATTTTTCTAAATCTGTATTTTTAAATAATAAAAATCTTACTATAAATCTTCTGTTTAAATAAGTTAATTAACATTGCATTAAATTATTTTTACACTTTTATTTATTTATTAATGTGTTTTATATTTAAATAAACTTACAGTGAATTAAAAATAGGAATTACATTTTGATGTTAAACTAAATATAAATACTATAGTTTAACTTAAATTACCTATTCTTTCATATTATATTAACATCTAATAGAAATAAAGTACTGACCAATTTTTATATAATATTGTTTTACAATAATTTCTTAATTGATATATTCAAAAAAAGTTTATATAGAATATATCAGAGTGGGTAATTTGAATTAAACTATACTAGTTATATTTAGTTTAACATCAGAATGTAAGTCTATTTAATATAAAACACAAATAAATAAAAGTATAAAATAATTTAATGCAATGTTAGTTAACTTATTTAAACTGAAGATTTATAGTAAGATTTTTATTATTTAAAAATACAGATTTAGAAAAATATTCATTACAAATGTTTTTTTTTATTTTGCATATATGATAATGGTAAATGCTGACTAACATATTATTTTAATAATAAATATTAGAATTCTGAATTTAAAAAAATATGATTTTTATAAATAAAAAATTATTATATCATTAAAATATTTATTGCTGACCATTTTATTTTGTCATTTAAATTCTATAATCCAAGTTATTTAAAAAAATAAAAATGAAGGTAAAATTGTTTCTATTAAGCTTTTTTATTTATTCTATTTATATAATAAAAGATTTTCATCTATCATCATATAGCTTTTTAGTTATCCATTAAATGGTTCGTGAAAAGTCAAATCCTGTGCGTTCCTATTTTAAATTAGATATCAGAAAAAATCAATCTATTTGTAAAATAGAAGATTGTGGTAAGGTCTTAACTGGGGACCATGCTGCAAATCTTGAACGACATATAGAAAGATTCCACAATAGGGAATTCAAATTATTAAGAAAAAAGAAAGAAAATTTGACTATTAAAAAAATTCAAATAACGAAAACTGCAAACCAGTATAATACAATCCAAGATGCTTTTAAGTCCAACACTACTACAATACAAATCAATATAAATAAAGAAACTTTAATCCGCTCCTGCACCGAGCTAATAACAGTTCACGGTAGTAATGTTGTTAAACGGCTCGTTTTTAGCCGATTTTTAAAAACGGCTAACTCAATCTTTTAGCCAGAAAAATATTGCTTAAGCCTCAAGATTTTGATAATATATGTCTAGACCTTTGTTCTTTCTATGAGCGGAATCTTCAGACATACGTAATATTTTTCTGGATGAAGTAGTGAGTTAGCCGTTTTTAAAAATCGGCTCAAAACGAGCCGTTTAGCAACACTACACGGTAGGCCAATAAAATCAATTGACGACAAAGCATTTCGAAATATTATAGATCCAATAATTATAGGATTGGGTGGAAATTTAACTATCAATTCGGAAAATATACGCAATAATATTTAAAAAATGGCGTTAGATTTTTCGGAAAATATAAAAAAGGAAGTATATCAAAAACTTATTTCGTTAAAATTAGATATAGCAACTAGATATGATAGGTCCATATTGGGAATCAATATTCAATTTATAAATAACGGAAAAATAAAATTAAGGACTCTATGCATGAAAGTGATTAAAGAACGACACACATCAGAATATCTTAAAAAAATTATTCTAGATGTTCTAAAAGAATATGAAATAAAAATTGAGCAGATTTACACAATAACCACCGATAATGCAGCAAATATGATTAAGTTAATTAAGCTATTAATACTACACGATGAAGAAGATGATGACCTTAACGATTATTTAATTAATGATGATTTAAATAATAATGATATAGATAATGATGATTTAAATAATAATGATATAATTCATGATGTAAATAAAGAACCTTTTAATATTGAAAATATTAATCTTGCATCAAATGCCAGATCCATATTAATAGGTATTAGATGTGATTCACATACATTTCAATTAGCAATTAATGATTGATTAAAAATTCAAATGAAATTGTCATTATAAATAAAGCAACATCTGCAAAAAAATAAGAAATCAGACAACAATGGCTATTCTGTCAAAATTAAATTTGAAAAAACCACTAATAGATTGTTGCACAAGATGGAACTCTATCTATTTAATGTTGGAGAGATTACTAGAGTTAAAAAGCTTTTGCCAAGAAATATCGCTCCAAAGCGATCGCGAAAAATGTTTATCAGAGAATGAATGGAAAATAATTAGTGACATATTAAAAGCTTTATATCAAGCTTATGTTTTGACAAAATATTTACAAAGTGAACAATTGACAATGGGCGATTTTTATGCTGCGTGGATCAAATGTCTCATGCAAACGAGTAAAGTAGACACTCCATTTGCCAGACTTTTAGTTTCTACGATGAAAGCACGAGAAATAAATTTCAAAATGAAGTTTCTTGCTCTGCTATTTATCTCGACCCTAGATACAATGTATTTTTAACTTTTGAAGAAAGAGAGATCGCCAGAAAACATCTTTGTAAAACTTGGAACTTGATACAAAATCTAAATAATCAGAATATTGAAATTCTAAATACTATGCCTACGTGTTCGTATTCGAATGATAATTTAGATGATGATTTTGAAGATTTATTAAAGTCGCATGAAAGTCTTAATAAGAATAATTCTCAGGGCATCGAAAATTATAATAAATGTATAGAAATAGTATATATAATTCGGTCATTTGATAATATAGAGAGATTAGAAAAAGATACTAATCTTTTGAATTATTGGGAAAATGTAAAGAATAGTATGCCAGAACTTTATAAGTTAGCTATAACTGTGCTAGCAGTTTCAGCTACGCAGGTCTCCGTAGAAAGAGCATTTTCAAGCCTTAAGTTTATACTCTCTGCGCAGAAAACTAAATTAAATCCTGAAATATTAGAAAATATTCTTTTTAAACCTAAATAGTATAGTATACATATTATTTTATTCATTATTGTATTTACGCATGTTTGTTTTTATTAGTGAAGGTCACGGTCCGGTCTTTGGTCCGGACTGGACCGATACCCTCGGACCGGACCGGACCACGGTCCTTAAGAAAAAGATCGATCCAGGCCGTGGTCCTAAATAAAAAGACCCGTCCTGGATTGGTCTTTTTATTTGTTTAAAAAACATATTTTTTTAACCTAATTCGATTTGTTTTATCATTTTATTAAATATAAGAGTATTATATAAACAATAAAATTTATCAATGATATTGAAAAAAATGATTTTGTGCTTGTAGAGGGCATATTAAAATTAAGAGTAGATTGTGTTTTTTGAGATATTTTCATCATTAGAAGTATATATTTTATGTTTTATCAGATGTCTGCTTAAGGTACCTAATTATTTTATTAAGAATAAGGTTAAGTAATTTTTACAATAAATTATACAGACAGTTTCTTTAAAAAAAATAGAACTATATAATAACTAAAATATTTTAATAATATTATTGCTTATTTTGATTAATTTATTGCTTAAAAAATTATAAAGTAAAGCAAACTTAAACAATAATAAAAGACCGGCCCGGACCGCGGTCTGGACCGTTAAAAATAAAAAGACCGGCCCGGACCACGGTCCTCAAGAAAAAAATCGGTCCAACAATCGGTTCGGTCCGATCCCGGTCTAAGACCGGACCGTTGACCTTCACTAGTTTTTATCTTATTAATTTATGAAATAAAAAAAAACTAATTTGTCTAATTTATATTTCCTAAATTTAATAAAAATATCTATTAGATTATCATGGATAAATTAAATAAGAAATTATAAACTAAAAAGATTTTTCTCTAAAATCTTTATATATACATGGTTAATGATTAATTTTTTTTTAAATTAAATTTATAAAAACTGGAACAAACCTAAAAGAACCGTTATAAATTATAAACCGAACCGAACCGTTATGATTTTTTTTTAAAAAACCGAAATGGAACAAAACCTTTATAAAATTTTAAACTAAAAACCGGAACGAACCGAACCGTTATACTAAACGGTTCGAAACCCTGCTTCCCTTCCAGCATTGGGAGTGATTATACTCCTATTTTTTTAATACTTGGACATATAGATATCGCCGGGGTGGCCTAATGGGTAAGATGTACGCTTGGAAACACGAGTATGAACAAGGACGCAGGTTCAATCCTGGTAAGAACCATAAAAACTTTTAAGTTTTTCTTCGATGACTGATGTGTAAAGACATATGGTATGATAAATTTCGGAGCTTAGAGATGACACCCCGGTCACCGACAGGCCTGGACAGCCGGGTGCTAAGGATACCTGTCCAATAAACAAAATGAAGAAAACAAATGGAAATATGAATATGAAAGATAGGGCGTTCCCTCCAAGCGACGCGCAGGGTGTAGACCTCCATCCTGTGAAAGTAAAGGTCAAAGCAAAGAAAACAAGATTAGCAAGTTTGAATATTGGGACCTTAAAGGTAAGACGAGAGAATTGGCATCAATGTTGAACAAGAGAAAAGTTAATATAGCGTGCATAAGAGACGAAAAAAGGTCAGAAGACTTTAATGATTGGAGATGGGTAGAAATTGTACTATAATGAACTTGTTAGCAATAGGAACTGTGTCGGCATCATCCTCAGTCAAGATCTAACCTCCTCATTTGTAGAAGTCAACAGGATCTCTGATAGACTAATGAAGATAAAACTCTGCATTGGTCAATCAATACTACACATCCTTTCATTATATGCTCCTCAAACGGGTTGCAAGGAAGAAGAGAAAGATGATTTTAGAGCTATCCTCGGACCTAGTCATAATTGGTGGTGACTTAAATGGAAAGCAAGAGATAGCTACAAAAGGCATCATGGTGGTTTTGGATATGGGGAAAGGAATGATGAAGGAGAGCATATAATGAAATTTGCTCAAGCCTTCGACCTTGCCTTAACCAACACCTACTATAGGAAAAAGGATAGTCATTTAATAACATACGAAAGTGGTACAAGGAAAACACAGATAGATTACATACTAATCTCTCGCAGAAGATTAAAAGATGTAATAGACTGCAAAGTTATCCCAGGAGAAGATATCGCCGCACAACACTAGCTACAGTCATGGATTTACACATCTCAAATAAATCCACTCAAAACAAGATAAAACTGGAACCATGCATCAAATGGGGCAAATTAAAAACAATGACAGATGCCTTTGCAATCAATGCAAACATTGAAACAATAGATTCCTCAAAAGTCAGTGAAAAAATGTGGACAGACCTTTCATCTAGATTAATAGACACTGCCAAATCGACACTAGGCTTGACAAGAGGAGGCAACAAATCATACAAAGAACTATGGCGGTGGAATGAAGAGGTACAAACCACTATAAAGGAGAAAAAAGCCCTTTATAAAATATGGTACAAATCCAAAAACGCAGATGACAAGACAAGATACAAAAAATCCAAGAGATTAGCTACAAAGGTGGTGGCTAGAACCAAATCTATGGCATACGATGACATGTACGAAGATCTACATACCAAAGAAGGGCAAAATAAAATATACAGATTAGCCAAACAGCGAGAAAAGAACTCTAGAGATATAAACGGAGCTCCGAAAGTAATCAAAAATAAAGATGGGAAATTGATAATAAAGGAAAAAGAAATAATGAATAGATGGAGAGAATATTTTCAGGAGCTTCTCAACTTTAATCCGCACATACTGCCGAACACTCCCCTTGTCAAAACCTTGTACAACCTATAACAACAAGAAATAGTCACATGCCTCAAGCATAAAACAACAAAGCTAGGGGTCCAGACGATATTCCAATAGAAAGCCTTAAAACACTAGGAGATGATGGAATACATCTCCTCACAAATCTATGCAATAAGATACTTGGAAATGAAGAGGTTCCCCAAAAATGGAGACAGAGCTATCTAGTTCCTATCTTCAAAAATAAAGGGGATCCACATAATTGTCAAAATTACAGGGGCATAATACTAATGTCACACTGTCTAAAACTATACGAAAAAATAATAGAAAAAAGATTAAGAGATATAATCGAAATAGGAGAGATTCAGTTTGGCTTTATGCCTGGAAGATCAACAACCGATGCTATCCACGCAATTAAGCAAATGAGTGAAAAATACAGGGAAAAGAACAAAAAGCTACACATGGTCTTTCTCGATCTAGAAAAGGCCTTTGATAGAATCCCAAGAAAACTTATCTGGTGGGCGCTACGTCACAAAAATGTTCCCGAAAAATATATAAGAATAATACAGGATATGTATATGGGCCATACAACAATGGTCCGTAGCACAACAGGTACTTCAGCAGGCTTCACAATAGCCGAAGGAGTTCATCAAGGGTCGGCTCTCAGCCCACTTCTCTTCATTACAGTAATAGATGTATTAGCACAGTCTATACCTCAAACAGACCCGTGGAATATGATATTTGCAGATGATATTGTGATACTTGCCGAATCTAAGGATGAAATGAAAGAAAGACTAATGAGTTGGATAAATATCCTAGAAACGCACGGATTAAAAGTAAATAGAGAAAAGACGGAGTATTGGTGATAGGAGGAGACGAAACAGAGAGTATTGATATAAATGAATGGCAGATATCGGCAATTGAAAGCTGCAAATATTTGGGCTCCACTATACAAACAAACGGCACAATAGAAAAAGAGATAAAGAGTAAGATTAATCAAGGGTGGCTAAAGTGGAGATCTTTATCTGGAGTGCTATTTGATAAAAGAATCCCACACAAATTAAAGGGAAAAATTTACAGTTCCATAATACAACCAACTATTCTATATAGTTCGGAAACATGGCCAACCAAAGAATCAGACGAGAGAAGTCTACAAACCATGGAGATGAGAATGCTGAGGATGATTGCTGGGTTAACAAGAAAGGATAAAGTGCGTAGTACAAGAATACTAAGTAGTTTAAAGGTAGTGCCCATTAAGACTAAGTTAATGGTAAACAGACTTAGGTGGTATGGGCACACAATGAGAAGGTCTATGAACTACATAGGAAATAAAGTTAAGAGTTTGGAAGTGATGGGCAAACGTAAAAGAGGAAGGCCAAAACTTCAATGGGGCAATAAAGTTAGAGCCAATATAAAGAAGTATAAATTAGATAAAAGAGATTGTATTAATAACATAAAGTGGAGAGAGATGTTGAAGGAGCTTATCACCAGAAAAGGTGAAAGCTAAAGAGAAAAAAAAAACTTGGACATATAGATCTCCAGATGGAAATTATTATTTTTTTAATTTTTAAGATAGGCTGGGAAATTAATTTCGGTTGGGGAAATATTGATATGCAATTTTAAATTTAATCAGTGATGTTGTCAGAGAAAAAATTTAAGAGAGTGGTATGGAAAATATTATCCACAACTTTTGGTCAGGTTGCAAGTATTTGCAGGGGCGTCACTAGCTAGGTGCTTTGGGTGTTAATGCACCCCCTTTTTGAAAATTAGCACAAATTTTGAAAAATCGATTATTGCGAATATCATAGGCTCTGCGATTAAGAGACATATTTTAGAGGAGGGTACCTCAAATAATGGAAATTCCAAAGCATTCCCAATAATTCTGCGCTTTTCTAATAAAGAAACAATAGTTTCAATTTCAAGTAAACTTCTAAAAATCATCGAACTTGGAGAAATTGAAGGATATTCTTGATTTTAAAACAAAAATTAATTAGCAATTTAATTAATAATATAAAATATTCTAAAAAATATGAATGATTTATTTGATGTATTTATTTTTACAATATTGTATGCATATTTTTTTATATAAAAGTGAATAAAATAATTTTTAGAATTATGGTTAAATTCTCCCCCTTTTTATTGGAAAAATCTGGCAACCCTGCTTAGCATCTATTTTTTTTTAAAATAAGCACGCAATTTTTAAATAATTAACACCATTTAAACAAAGACATTAGTATTTATCTAAATAACTTTTTACAAAATATTCAAACGAGTGGGAGGAGGGTATAAGGCAAAATTATCATGAAATTAGTGGGAAGCAGGTACTTATAATTTAGCTATCATTATCTGAACAAAATTGGAGAGAGGTACGTTTGATTTGGATTTCCTTTTTGTCGATTTTTGACTTTTTTTGCTAACTTTATTTTGATAGGGAGAGGGGAGGGTAAAATTAGCATTAGCTATGGGGAGGGGGGGGGGGTAGTATAAAGGTCCCCGCTTGAAGTTGGAAATTTGATGGTCTATATAAAACATATCCTTATGGGTGCACATCAAAATGACATATTTATTTCAAGAAAAATGAAACCTTTTGTTTTATACGAATTTATGTCTTTTTAATAAGGCAAATAAATAATAAAATTTAGAACTATGAAATAATAATGACGGGTCTAGACTATGTCATAAAATATTTTTTAAAGATCTGGCATTTATTTTAAAACATTTTTCATTGAACCAAGACATGCCCTAAGGCTTTTATCTAAGACTTTCTTTTTCCATAACTTACAAATTTTAGAGTTTTAACAAATGCTACATTTTAAAATTTTCTAAAAATATGTTTTGTAGAGATGTTTTCTTCAATTGAAGCAAGCTTATTTATTATTTTTATTTGAGTTTTAGATGTAAATTCATTTTTCTTCAATTTTGGACATTTCTTAAATAAAATAGTTAATGAAAAAAGAAATATAATTGCGAAATATCTAACAAGCTAAATTTTCAAAAAAAAAATCCTGTTTTCTATCAAATGTAATTAATGTATACTATCTATACTAATAAGTGTATATTAATGCCATTTAATCGAATTGCAAACCATAAAATGATCTACCGTTGTTGATGCTATAGACATTTCTAAATGCATCTAATAAAAATCGCCAATTTAGTAGTAAATATATACATCATTCATTGATTCGAATATTAATACAAATACTTTTAAAATAAAATATTTTTAAGTAAATTCCATACAATTTATTTTAAAGAAAATACTTAAATACAAATACTTTTTATGAATAGTCTTATAATACCAATAACAATTTTTTCATTTAAAGACATTTTATTAACCATTTTTAAAAATTATTTTATAATGATATCGTATTTATCCACCTTTTACCAGTGTTGTTAAACGCTACTTTTAAAAGTAGCGCGCTATCGCTACCGCTATTTTATAAAAAAAGTAGCGCGCTATTGCTACCGCTATCGTTTTCAAATGAGTAGCGCGCTATTAGCTACTTTTTACGCTACTTTGATTTTTTTTTAAAATATTTTTTTTACGTAACTTTATTTCCACAAATAAAATATTGATATAAAAACATGACTATAATTTGTTACATATATATATAATTTATTTATTATTGCACTTTAATAATAATAACATTTCGGTACTGTCATCCCCAAGTCTAGAGCGACGATTAGAAAGTATAAGCTTTGCCATACTAAATAATCGTTCAGCACTAGCACTTGAGGGCAACGCAGTATTAAATTTAATAAACAAACTTTTTATATGAAAAAAATCATCAAAAATATTTAAATTAGTATTTTTAGATTTAAAAAAAGCATTTAGAGGTTAATTAAAAATACTTCAGTATATTCTTTAATAAAGGTATGCTACTCCACATTAAAATACTGTATTCCCATTTGATCCAATATATAATTCATTTCCATTTTTTTCTCATCTAGAAACAATGCTAAAAGTTTCATAGCATTGTAAACACTATTCCATCTAGTAGTGTTTGGTGTCAATAAATAACGTCCTAATTTTTTTTTTTGAAAATATCAGACGTCTTTGATGACTTATTTTGTTTATTCCAAAGAGCTTGGCATTTAGAAAATGTAGATCTTGATACTCCTTTAAAATCCTCATTTAATAATGCTTCTTCAGCATCCACTGTCGCAACTAAATTTAGGTAGGTTGTGGCAGGAAGAACGATGATGGCTAGGTAACGTAGAAGACTTTATTGAAGATCCTAAATATTATAAATTTTAAATTTTATTTTATATTGGTGAAAAATTAAATATAAAATAATTTAAAACCAAGGATGTCATGAACATCAATTATCTCAAACTCCATTTCATCATCCTCTTCTTGTTCTCCATCTTCAATATTTTTTTCAGGAATATTACTAGTATTGTTATTATTATTATCCTCCCCAAATATTCCATATTATTTATATCATATTATAAAAAAATTATAATAAATTTAAAACTTGAAGGCCTTTAGGAAATTAGACCCATTATCCGTAATCATCTTACAAACCTTGTTTTGAATTTTGTAAGGCCTATGGATTTCTGCAATAATATTGGCTAGAATGTCATAAGTCTGACAGCCAATTATTCTCTTTAGAGCTTTCAGATTTTCGTTTAAGATTTTTAGGATCAATTCAATGTGCAGAGCTCTAAAAATATGACATATTATAAATCAGAAAATAAACATTTTTACCTTTTATTGTGAGTCCAGCAATCTGCCATTGTACAGACGTAGGAGACATCTGATAGATTTAATATCAAAGATTCTTTCATTTCCTTAAAGCTCTCCAAAATTCTTGCCATCAATGTCTGCCGGCAAAATATCTTGGTCCGTGGAGAAAAATTGTTTGTCATCTTTATAAAAGAATCATTATCCACCAAGGATAATAGTTGAACTGTATCTATTATAAAGTTTATAATGACTTTGTCAGCCAATTTTTGGGATACACCAGGTGTTGATGAATCCAAATTGGTTAATTTTGTTTGTATTAAATTTGATTTGGAAGTGGGTTTATCTTCTTCCATTACCCCAAAACTTTTGAGATATTTTTCAATCTCTTAATAATTTGAAGTGTGCACAGTCTAAAATTATAAAATACTTAGAATAAAAATTATGTAGGAGATAAGTACATAAAAATGATTGAAATAACTATTTTTAAAATGTTTTAAATAATTTAGATAAAATTTATGAATATATAAAAAAAATAATTGGTTTTTGATTTTAATTTTTAAAAATTAAAGATTAGCCTACACATTGATATTAAATTTGTTTAATATATTACCTTTAAATGTTTTTTCAAACTAAAGCTGCTCGTATGATTTGAAGAGATAATTTTGCGGCACATCTTGCACCGAAACCGATATCCAGTTATAATTTTTTCTTCAAGGTTAAAGTATTTCTTGAATTTTGGGAAAGGATCATCTATATTTTGCTCATTTTCCAAAGAAATTTCAATATCTTCAACAATCTCACACATAACAAGATTTATAATGCTTAATATAAAATGTAAAATAAAATAAGATAAAAGCAAGGACATACAATAACGGAATTTCAAAAATATATAATTTAATGAATGCGCGAAATATAAATTAAATACAGATTGCTATTTAACAACTGTTTATATCTAATATATAACAATAATGTATATTTTTAAATATAAATATAAATTTCAAAATTAAATTAAATAAAAGGATTATAATTTTAGATTTTATAAAAAATATATTTTAATAATTTTTAGATGTATTTATTATGTAAAATTGAACTTTCTAAATTAGTAGCGAGCTACCGCTATCGCTATTTTTTTTAAAAAGTAGCGCGCTATAGCTACCGCTACTGAAAAAGGTAGCGCGCTAAACACTGCCTTTTACTTCATTATTGATGTTAGAAGGTATTTTGAATCACCTTCAGTCTAATATGAGTTGTCAACCCGTATAGAATGTGGAGGTACTTGAGGATCTGCTGTTAAAAATACCTTATATATAGATATAATATTTTAATTCGGTGGAACATGCATCTACAACTTCTAATTCTATATCTTCAAAAAAAAATTTCTTCAGTTTTATTTTCAGTATGAACATTGCTCATTTAATAAAATTGGATGGACCAGATAAAATTTTTATAACTTTCATTTATTCGGAAATTAATAATTGTGGATTTGCATAAATAAATTAAAATATATTTTAATTATTCTTCGCAAAATAGCCCCTTCATTTAAATATATACTTTCAAGAGAGTCATCTTTGAATATGAACAGCCTCGAATTCGTAAAAAACAAACACGTATATGAATGGCTGAAAGCCCTACCATGAAAACTTGAACCTTGTTTATCCCCAGAAGCACTGGGGATAACTATAGGACTACAAACAAATTTTACTGCATGCTCCTTCACAATACATGCTTTGTAATTGTAATTTATAAGTTGCATCTAACAGACAGAACCCATTCATTATAAATGCTAAAGGGCAACAATTAAACCTAAAATTATAACATTCGCCAGACCTTAAGAGACAAACTTCAACTCTAGAACAATAGGGGTGAACTTAAGGAATAATAAACGTATTCATGGAATATCTCTCAACCTTTGTTAATTGTGTTGGCTTCTCGCTTGGGAATTCTCACGTATAGATATAGTTGTAACATCTAATAATAACAATCAATCCACAGAAATTACAGATAAAATACTATTTATATATTTTTTTAGTTTATAAATTATTATACTTTATATTTATATATATTTTTAATATTTTGACTTTTAAACTAACTAAATTTTTAATAAAAAAAATATTATTAATTTTTATTTTCTATCACCTCTCTCATACCTCTTTATATAATCTATATCAAATTTTTTAAAGAATAATAAGTTATATACTTTATACTTTTAATCTATATAATATTAAATTTTATTTATTAAGGAATTATTTTTATTTAAATTCCTCTTGGATATAAAAATTTTAATTTAAATTTCTGAAATACATATGAAAATTTTAAAATATCGCAAATATTTGCATATGCAAATTTTTTAAATCTAGGCTAAATTATGATGAATTATTATTTATAATATATTTATCTAGGTAATAATATCCAAAATTATGGCTGTTATTTGTCCTGAACCAATTAATATTGATCATGATTATCAAATTTTTAAATACGATATTGTTCAATTAAAATCAGGCTTAGTTCAGAATCTTCGCAATAAATTTATGGCTATCATCGAATTGGAAAAAAATACCCAAAAATTAGATGACAAAAATAAAATAAGAAAATTTAAAAGTTTAGAAAATATTGATAAAAAAGATAGAAACAAAGATCAAAAATTTGTTCATCAAAGTCTAGAAAATTTATGTAATTCAGAGCAATTGAATTCCAATATTTCCATGGATACAAACTATAAAACTTCATATCAACCCATTGAGTATTCACATAAATTGCAATCTCATGAATTTAAGTTAGTTGACCCAACTTTTTTTGATTTTGCATCTATACAAAGTAAATTTGGTGAGCCCATATGCACTATTAAAAAACGACAATTTATTAAACCTGATATAAGACTTAATGAAAATGAAGATGATAACCAAAATGATTCTCTATCTAAAGTTCAACAAATTAAAAAACTATTTTCAAAAAAATTCAAAAATCTTGAAAACAATTCCAACCTCCTAAAAACTATTCCCAGGATTTCATCAAATCAAGAAATATTAAAATCAGTTGTTAACTCAACTCATGAATCTCATAAAGTTATAACAGAGTTTAAAGTAATAAAAAATGGGTATATAACTAATAATAGTGCAATATTAGCTAATCCATCCTTACCTGGAAAATCAATTCGAAAGTCTGCTGCAGGAGTATATTTTTATTACAATAACTCTGATAATAGTTTTACTAATAATAAAAATGATTTAAATCATAGACTAGTCAATATTAAGCACAATAATGATGATTTTAAATACAAGTCAACAATAGAATCTCATACCAGCAAACATATTAAACTTGGCATGCCCACAGCAGATTTAAAGTTAGTTATACCTCAAAATACAATGGTATATCATCACAAACCCCCAAACATTATCCTTAATAACACCTTAAATGTTATCAAACCTACTGCTGATCCAGATGGATATTGGAGGGTTACAAGAGACCTTGTTCACAAAATCAGAGCAAAGGGACGTTCTTACAGGTTTGAAAATGGCAAAAAACAAGAATTACCTACAACTATATTTCTTTCCAAAATAACAGATCCATATGAGAATTATAACAATTCACATCAATCTTTACAAGAAAAATCTCCAGAGGCTGATTTACAATGCTGGGATAACATTGTTCCTCTTCCTTCATTTATCAAGCCCTCATTTAATGAATTTGAAGAGAAAACTAAAAAATCCTACCTTCGCCAAAGTTGTCTTTCTATTGTATCACCCTTAGCTCACAAAAACAAAGACAAAACTGATTCAAATATAATGAGCAGCATAGCAAAATCATCAAATAATAATAAAGTTTTGAACACCTTTTTTGCTACATTTTTACCAAACTCTACTGAAAATAACTCCCACTCAGATGGTGATTTTACTAATGATGCCAAGCGCTGCAAAATCCATCAAAATAATCATGGTTCAATTTGCCTTAATGAAACCACAAATAACCAAAATACATTGTCCAGCCAAGAGAATGATGATAGATGTTCATACTTCCCTAACAAACAACAGGCAGCCCAAATTTATCATTTTAATGATAATGGCAATAGTAATTTGATGGAAAATGACATTTGCTTAAGTGAAGGAAACTCATGTGGGGATGATGAGGGGAGTGATCAAGATGATGACAAAGATGAAACACTAACTGAGATGGAATTCATTGACTTGTCAAAGCGAATCCACCTGATTGGGGCTTATGTCAAGTTGGACAAAAATAGCTTTTTGAGTCTTGACCGAAAAAAAAGCGTAAAAAATTATTTGTCCATTCTTTTCAATATTTATATAATATTGTTTATGGATCTTCAAACTTATGAGGCTTACACTGCCAAGGAGTGGAAAAGCTCATTAAAATAATATTTGGTCAGAGCGTTTTTAAGCCATTGAAACTTATGACTAGTGTTGTTAAACGGCTCGTTTTGAGCCGATTTTTTAAAACGGCTAACTCAATATTTTAGGCAGAAAAATATTGCCTAAGCCTCGAGATTTCGATAATATATGTCTAAACCTTTGTTCCTTCTGTGAGCAAAATCTTCAGGCCTGCGTAATATTTTTCTGGATATAATATTGAATTAGCCGTTTTTAAAAATCGGCTCAAAACGAGCCGTTTAACAACACTACTTATGACTAATAGATATTATTTATTTGGTCAGAGCGTTTTTAAACCACTGAAACTTATAACTAATAAATATTATACTTTAAATTAGTAATATAAGTGAACTGTGACTAAAGATTTGCAATCACGGCTCGTTCGAGCCGGGATTATTTAAAAAATATAATTTTGGACTGCGTCAGGCCTAATATTTTTTTAAAAATTTCAGGCCGGGTTGGGCTTAAATTTTTAAATATGATATCATTATTTTGTCAAATAAATTGATATATTTTAAAATTCTTGCCATAAACTAGGCGTTAATATTTTTTATTTATAGAATATTTTTTTTATAATTTAAAAAAGATTAAATTTTTCTGTATTTAAATAAATTCGGGTCGCACTTTTCGGGACAAATAAAACAAAATTCATTCGAGATCGGGGCGGGCCAGACAAACTTTTTAAAAAAAATTTCTGGCCGGGTTTGAAAATTAGGCCCGATGCAGATCTCTAACATGGGCTAATAATAAATTTGATGGATCGACCTAAAACATGCTTATTTTCACCCAAGTTATAATATTGGCTATTTAATTGATTCTCATTTAGAAAATTTGATCTCTTCTTTTCGCCTTCTATGAATACAAATAGAACTTGTATCATTTATTATCTAATTACGATAATTATCCATGCGATACCATGATAATTATTCGTTTCCGATTTTACTAATCGAATAATTATCTGACGAATAAAATATTTGATCGGATGTACCATATTTCGTACATATTCATATTTCATAAAATTCGGAATTATTTAATTTTAAGACTTTTACTTTTTTCAATTTTCACAATATCAATGTTGTATTCTGCGATGAAAATATTAAATTCAATAAACTTATTATTTGTATTTGAACTCTAGTGGATTCAATTATTTTATTGAAATTAGAGGAATCATATCACATATCTTTTGCATAATTTATATCAGAGACCTGCGGGTTAACCATTTGCATGGCCTGGCCCAAATTCGAAATTTTTTTTTGGCCCAGCCCTGGTTTTATATTTTAATACCCGTTATTTTTAAAAATGCATATTTACACACATATTTTTTTAACAAAAAAATTCCACACAGTTTTCGTCAAAAAAAAATTTTCAGGCAGGGTATATAAATTTTTTCTATGGGTTTAAGAAAAATATTAAAATATACCTATTCAGCATTTTACCGATCGTTTTTCAACAAATATGAATTTCAAATATAATAACTTTTCAAATTATCTTATCTCCCCGCTTGTCGTAAAAGGAGTGAGTTTGAATCACCACACTTTCTATTCGACTGGTCGATGGTGATTTCTCTATTTCCTTTTCTTCTTATAATTTAATATATTTTATATAAGTATCAGTCATTTTGCCCTCTCTCCCTGGCACCATAATTGCCTGAATCTGAATTTGTACAGAGAAAAAGAGAGATAAAATGATACTTAACTAAAATAAATTTTGCCCTTAAAAAGTGTATTATATTTTGAATATTGAGCTATTTTTGTTGCTTTTAATTTGATAGAATATTACCTAAAATAATGATTAGTTGAAATTCGAAAAATATTTTACTAGAAATATTTTCTAAGAATCGAAAAAATGGAAATTGGAAATATGTTATGAATGAATGTGATATACAATTTTTAAAAACTTTTTATTTATTTTTAATTTTTATAGATTAATGGCTATACTTAAAATTTTCGGATAATTAGTTCTGCCCGGTCTGGTTATTTTAACAATATTCGGCTTGTGTACATTTAAAATAAAAAATATTGGCCAGGCCCAGGCCTGCAGGCCTCTTATTTATTTATAAAATTAAAATAATCTATTTTTTCATTTTTAAAAACATTAATTGAAATAAATATTCTATGAATCGAATAATGATTATATAATTCTTGTGAATATGAATAAATTATTTGATTCTTATTTTGGTTGGCCTAGCTAAAAATATTCAAAATATTGCGTAATATTTATGTTATATATACCAAAAATTATCTTAGATTAATAAAAGTTAGTTTGGGGGCATTATATTATTATTTCAAAATGTCAAAATTTTGAAACAATGTTTCATATTAAGTATAAATCTCGGAGACCATAGATGCGTTTGTAAGGATTAATGATGGAATTAAAAAGATTAATTATGCACATCAAATAATTTTTTATTGATAAGAAATCATACTGATAACTAGCTTTTTTACAATTAAATGAATACATTGTCTACCTTAGTTTACACTATATAGAAATGTTATTGGTCACATGATTTCGATTCATAAATTCCTCCTCTCGTTAATGTCCATAATTATAAAAACTATAATCCACATATTTGCATTAGCTTACTAGCATATAACTTACGCACATAGTAATGTTATAAGACGTAATATTGTGGTTACACTTGTTGCGATAATAATTTACATAATAATAACTATTGGTTTCTATTTTTTATAAAATGCCTTTCTCTCCTCGTTTCGATACATCAAATGATATAATTAGTAGTATTATTTGCGGTATGTGTTCAAAAACCTGGAATGCTCTTCTCCTTTTTATGTATATATTATCATTGGACGAGAAATATTTGATCTCATAAATTAATATAACTTATTTTTTTTTGTTTTATATTATATTTTTAAGATATATACCTCCAAATGGGAATTTAGATAAGTATTCCAGTTTTTTAAAATCTTTATTTAAAAAATATAGTGCAACTTTTTTTAAAAAAAAAACTAATTTGCTTCGCGCTTTTAAAATTCTGATTGTAAATAGTCGCCTACGTCGCAAGCTACATGTATTTTTTTTGGTGCACTAATTATTTTTTTGATTTAAAAATTTGCACTAGTCACCCTCTGCAACACCCCCCCCCCCCCAAATTTCTCCTGAAACTTTTAGATTTATTTATAATATCCATAAGACCAGCTTATAACTGCATTCATAGTTCGCGCGAATTCGCGACGAAGTATACAAAAATACAGCATATTCTGAATACTTCGCCGCGAATTCGCGCTAGCTGTGATGAAGGGTAAAGAGGACTATCACCTTAAATTATAGTTGTAAATAATAAAAAAGAAACAAGATGTTGATTGTTGGAATATAAGATGATAAAATAAAATCACTTAAATTAATTCACGGTGTTTTCTATTTTTTTTGTTAACTCAACTTTTAAAAACGGCTAACCCAATATTTTCGCCAAAAAATTATATGCAAGCCTGGAGATTTTGCTCATAGATGACAGAAAGATTTGGGCATCAATTAACTAAATCTTAAGACTTGAGTAATATTATTTGACTAACTTATTTTTAATATGCCAAATTGAGCCGTTTAACAACAGTACTATTTTTATTAGAATTATTTTTTTAGTTTATTCAAATAATTACTTTGTCACAACAAAATATTCAAATTAAAATTTTTTTTTATTAGGTGATTTAAATTATAAAAAAAATTAATTTCTATTTTTGTTTTGTATCATAAATTGTCCTAATTTTATCATTTTATTTAAAATATTTAAAGAATATTTATTGTTTGATGAATTATAAACCAGATTCATTGTTTTTTATGAAAAAAGGAAATGTATTCTATAATTATCATATTAAGGTATAATACTCCTTAGACAATATAGTTTATTTATTTCAACATAAGTATTTAATAATTTATAAGGGAAATTATAATGAAACATTACTTACCAAAAAAGTTTTTCTTTCCTCTAAAAAAAATAAACAATGCTTTAAATCATTGACAAAAAAAATCTTTTTTTACAAATACAAATAAAGTTATTTGAAAAGGTTTTTCAACTTTAGGGAAAAGATAAGTGATACTATTTAAAAAAAATAATTTATTACTGATTTTTTTTAACACAAATAAATTTACACGTAATTTTTCATAATTAGATAGAATATTTACAATTTATTAATTTATAAATCTTGGTGAGAATGAACGTTTATAAGACTTGAAAATTGATGGATTAAAAGATCTGACCGGACACAGTGATCCTAAATACACTAACCAATATTAACCGTATTCTCTTTATAATGATTGGCATCGTCCTCAGCTTAGTTCGATTTATTTTAGGTTCCAAAACAGATTTGTATCTATCTGCTTATGATTAAAACTTAATATATTTTTTCTAATATAATCTAATACTGAGATTTTTTAACATCATATTGATAGTAGAATAACTCAAAGACTGAGCATCTAAGGGACATTTTTTTTAATTAGATGATATATATATGTAGGATTAAAGGTTAGAGAAATATGGGGATCCTAACTATGATCGTAAAGTCATTTGATTATAATTCGTCCACATTTCTAATTGGTTTATTAATCATTGTTAAAAATTAAATAATGATAGCATCCAATTTGACCGAAAAGAGGCCAAAATTCTTACGATCAAAGGAGGCCCTCTTATGAGTGAGGGTTAATAGTTTGAGAGATGTGAGTTAGGGTAAAGATATATTTTAAATGGTTTATAAAAAATTTTAATCATTTTTTTAAATTATTAATTTGTCAAATCGGACAGATCATATTATTAAAAATCTTTGATTTGAACCATAATCATTTAAATTTAATAATATTAACAAAATTTATCCTTATTTGATTCTCAATATTATAATTATGATGTAGAAAGAAAACCCTTTTTTAGATAT